CAGAAACACTCTAGACATTTTTCTTAGGCCCTATTTTTAGAATGGAGGGACTAATGATGTTTTAATGTCTCTATATATTCCCAGAACAAATCTTGAGAAAAAAGTCTGTTACCTTTAGAAATTTAGCAAAGCTGGTGGGATTTTCAGAGCTCCTCTGAGAAGTATTGCATTTAAGAATGAATTTTGATTTACAGAACGTCAGTGGTAAAAGGGCCACGAAAAATCAGCTCTTCTAAACCCCTCATTTTCTATGAGGAAACCGTCTTGGTGCAGGTAAACTGCTGACCCAAGATCAGAGAGTGGGCATGTGAAAGTTGTAAGATGGTAGACGGATGCTTTCCTGCAGAAAAATGACAATGGGAAGAGTCAGTGACAAGAAGTCAGTTTCTGAGTTAAAGACTCAACTGTAGAGCAAGAAAACAGTCTCTCAGGCCCTTGCATGAGCTTCCTTACTGTTGCTATAGAAGATTCTGAGAAAAGACATGAAGTGATCAAAAAACATGTGAGTTCAGAAATGAGAAAAAGTCCAAGAGCACTTGTGAAGAGTTGGGCCCTCGAGTATTGGTCAGCTTCGCAGTGATCTTTCCACCCCACAGTGTCAGATGTGTTTTTTTTTTTTTTTTGCCCTTTAAATGGTACCTGGAATTCCACCAATTAGAACTCCAGCAAGCAGTCTTCTTCTAATGGTGCAAAAATCTGTCGGAGGGTAAAGTGCCCATCATTTATTATATATTACTCTGAATTATTTTCATCTGCTTTCTTTTTTGAAAGTCTAATTGACATCAGCGACACTCGGGGAATGTAGTTTCGATTGCAGCAAGGGAAGAAAGTGTTTAAAGAGCAAGTAGTATTCTAGTGGAAGTGGCCACCTGGCTGAGGTGCTGAAGCGGGGGTGGTCAGGATGGTATCAGGACACTGGGGCTCAGGTCAAAGACTAGGAGACAAGGAAGGAATGTCCAAGACAACTCTAGCTTGTTTTAAAACGTTACTGTTGATTGCCTCACACCTGGAAAAGAAAGCAGAAATGCTTTTATCCTTTTCTTGTGTTCCTTGACCCCTTAGGTAAATACTGATTCATTGCAGGTTAATTAGGCTTTTGTGGCATGAATGGAGACCCCAACCGTCGTGTATATAGGAGTTCCCCTGGGAAAGTGTATACTGAGGTTTACACTAGCCCTGAGTTGTGCTTTACAACATACATTTATGAGGAAATAATTTGTAAGGACTTAAATGCAATTAAAAATCAGTTGCTGTTGAGTTGATTCCAACGCATGGTGAACCATGTACATCAGAATAGAACTGTGCTCCACAGAATTTTCAATGGGCTGATTTTTTCAGAAGTAGATCGCCAGGCTTTTCTTCTGAGACACCTCTGGTTGGACTCGAATCTCTAACCTTTCAGTTAGCAGCCGAGCGTGTTAACCATTTGCCCTACCCAGGGAGTCATAACGTAGTTAATAGAATAGATTCTTGGGTCAGTCTTCCTGGGCTTGAATCCTGTCTTTGGCACTCAGTGATGCAGGACAAGTCCCTTTTATTTTTACTCTGCCTCAGTCTCCTTATTCGTACAGTAGGGATGCTAACAGTACCTAACACATAGAACTGTTGTGAGAATGATCACGTGAAACACAACAATGCCTAGCAAAGTGAAAGCAATTGCATGGTGATGATTATTCTGTGTTCTCCATGTTCCTCAACCATGTACCCCAGTTTTATAGGAGAAAGTATAGTTTCTAACTGTTCCAGAAGTAGATTTAGAACAGGAAGTCAGGTATCTCGTTTACATCGAAATATTGCCTGCACCAATTCATTTATTTTATGTCAGAAAGCTAATTCTTCCAAATGCAAAACTTCTCTTTCCACATCACTGCTATCAAATTTAGTAACATATTTAATGTATGTAAATGATTATGTGAATAATTATCAGCATTCTAAAAGTTACGAATTTTAAGGCGAGCTTCTGAGGGGAAGGTCAAAAGCATTTGTATCTGAATGTAATTGTTGAGTACCCTTTCCACATTTTTATCTATAACAAGATGTCTCTCCCAAGATTTCTTTTACGGACTCTATCAGTTCTGTTTCAACTCAATGGCTGGCACATCTTATCCTGTTTCTGGAATCTGTAGAAGTACAAATGGGTATTGTAAATGTGTTTGTTTAATCAAAACAGTTTGAAAGCTCAATTACCCTGGGTTGTGTAAACGGTTTGCAATTGACTATTAACCTAAAGGTTGGTGGTTCAAACTTACTCAGCAATGCCACAGAAGAAAGACCTGATGATTTGCTTCAGTAAAGATTACAGCCAAGAAAACCCTATGGAGTAGTTCTACTCTGTAACACACAGGGTTGACATGAGTTGGAGTTGACTTGATGGCAATTTTTTTTTTCCTTTTAAATATGAGAGTAGGATAGAAGTAGGTCCTTATATGGGATAGTAGGTAGAGCGTGGTCTGAAAGTTAAAAATCTGGATTCTGTTCCTACCTCTACAGTTAAGAGGCTATGTGACCTCACATCCATCCCAGAATCTCTCTGGGCCTGTCAAAAATAAAGGATTTGAATGATATATTCTTTAAGGTTTCTTACAGATCTAATATTGTATGATTCTGCAATATTTTATTGACCCTACATTTGTGAAGTGTGCATGCTTTGATTTGACACACACACACACATATATATACATGCACATACATATATTTATATATATATGTATTTTTTCTTTCCCAGTTTCCTTAAAACCATTTGAAATGCCTTTGCCAGATGGCCAACCAGGAGGAGAGAAAAATCTAGAGCTATAAAGTAGAAAAAGCCACTTGGATACACAAGAGAATAAGTGTGCGGCCTTGGCCTTGTTAGAGTCCAAGTCCCCATACACAGAACTATGGATCCAAGATTACATGCCAGGTGAATAAAAACACATTCCAGAGGTATCATTGCTCTTACCATTAATGGATGATTCCTTGAATTTTCCTGTTTTGCAGAGGACAAAGCAGAAATATGAAAAGATAAATAATCGCACAAGGTCGTCTGAGTTGCCATTTCTCTGTATAATGTTTCTTTTCAAGGGAGACTGGGGAAGTTAAGGAACAACTTTCTCTCTGTCTGCCTCTCAGAGATATTGGCAAGACACCAAATTTCTTAAAGGGAAGATAAAAAAATGAGAGCAACCTACTTAGTGACCTACATTTGCCTTTCTAAATTGGGGGCATTATTTCTATGTTAGCTTGTCTTTTTTGATATTGAGTAGAGCTCTTTTGGTTGATAAGTATATTTTGACACAGACCATTAAAAAATGATTTGGAATCAATTCTTGTGCAGGAGATAGTTAGATGATATATTACGGAACTAGCTCATTCCTTCTGGAATCAAGGCAATACCAAAAACCAAACTCAACCCATGGAGCACCATGTGTTACAAGTAGAACGGCTCCCTAAGGTTTTCTTGGCTGTCTTTTTTTTTTTTTTTTAATTGTGCTTTAGATGAAGGTTTACAGAGCAAATAATTAGTTTCTCATTAAATAATTTGTATATATATTGTTTTGTGACATTGGTTGCCAACCCCATGACATGTCAACTCTCTGTCGTTCTCAACCTTGGGTTCCCCATTTCCATTCATCCAGCTTTCCTGTCCCCTCCTGCCTTCTCGTCCTTGCCCCTGGGCTGGTGTGCCCATTTAGCCTCGTATAAGTGGTTGAGCCACGTGTATTATTGTTTGTTTTATGGGCCTGTCTAATCTTTCACTGAAGGGTGAACCTCAGGAGCGACCTCAGTACTGAGTTAAAGGGTGTTGGGACCATACTCTCGGGGTTTCTTCAGTCTCTGTCAGACCAGTAAGTATGGTCCTTTTATGTGAGTTTGAATTTTGTTGTACATTTTTCTCCAGCTCTGTCCGGGACCCTCTGTTGTGATCCCTGTCAGAGCAGTCGGTGGTGGTAGCTGGGCACGATCTAGTTGTGCTCGACTCAGTCTGGTGGAGGCTGTGGTAGTTGTGATCCATTAGTACTTTGGACTAATCTTTCCCCTGTGTCTTTGGTTTTCTTCACTCTCCCTTGCTCCAGATGGGGTGGGACCAGTGGAGTATCTTAGATGGCCGCTCACAAGCTTTTAAGACCCCAGACACTCGCTATTCACCGAAGTAGGATGTAGAACATTTTCTTTATAAACTATGTTATGCCAGTTGAGCTGGATGTCCCCCAAGACCATGGTCCCCATGCCTCAGCCCAGTAATTTGTTTCCCCAGGGAATTTGAAGCTTCTATGACTTTGCTTGGTTAAGTTGTGCTGACATCCCCAGTATTGTGTACTGTCTTATCCTTCACAAAAGTTATCATTTATCTATTGTCTAGTTAGTGTTTTTCCCTCCCCAGCCCTCCCTTCCCTTATAACCATTAAAGATTGTTTCTTTCTGTGTGTAAACCTTTTTATGAGTTTTTATAATAGTGGTCTCATACAGTATTAGTCCTTTTGGTATTGACTTATTCCACTCAGCATAATACCCTCCAGATTCATCTATGCTGTGAGATATTTTGCAGATTCATCATTGTTCTTTATAGTTGCATAGTTTTCCATTGTGTATATGTACCATAGTTTTTGATAAACATTTATCTGTTGATTGTCACTTAGGTTGTTTCCATCTTTTTGCTATTGTGAATAATGCTGCAGTGAACATGGAAGTGCATGTGTCTATTCGTGTGATTCTCATTCTCTTATTTCTCTGGGATATATTCCTAGGAGTGGGTCTTGGCTATAATCTTTACAGAAGGAGATCACCAGGCCTTTCTTATGTGGCACCACTGGGTGGGTTCTAACCGCCAACCTTTAGGTTAGTAGTCAAGTACAAACCGTTTGCGCCACCCAGAGATCTTAACACGACAATAGGGTGGCTAAACCCTTTGTCGTTATTATTAAGATAATAATATAGCACCGGTGGCTTAGTTTTCTTAATTTCATTATTATTTAGAGAAGAATCTGTAAAAACATTTTCTTCTTTCTTTTTTCTTCTAGTCACGGTCTCCTGCCCTGTAGGTCCTTCTGTGAGGCTGCAGAAGAGGGCTGTGAATCAGTCCTGGGGATGGTGAACTCCTCCTGGCCTGATTTCCTCAGATGCTCCCAGTTTAGAAACCAAACTGAAAGCAGCAATGACAGCAGGATTTGCTTCTCACCACAGCAGGAAAAAGGAAAGCAATGTAGGTGTCTTTGTTTCAATTCATTTTCTAAAGCTTTTATTGAATTATACTGTTCATTCAGAAATGTACATAAATAATAATTGTAAATTCAACAGATTTTAACAAAGTAAACTGATCCACGTAACCAGTACCTAGATCAAGAAACACATTATTACCAATATTCCAGAGACCTGCTCAGGATGGTTAGTTTTATGTGTTGACTTCTCTAGGCTATGGTGCCCAATTATTTGGCAAAACACTAGTCTAGTTGCTGTTGTAAAGTAGTTACATGTGATCAAATCAGTTGGCCTTAAGTAAAGCAGATTACCTTCCATAATGTGGGCAAACCTCAATAAATCAGTTGAAGGCCTTAAGAGCAAAAAGGCCAGGAGATCACCTTTCATCCAAATAATAGATTGGCTTATAAAATAAACCATATCACCTGTGAGTACTGTGCTCCCTTAAATAATCAATTATATGAGACCAAACAGTCAACATTAATACTAAAGCAGAGATGAGAAGGTAAGGAGGGGCAGGAAAGCTAGATTAATGGAAACAAAACAAACAGAATGGAAATAATGAGAGTACTGACACATTGTGAAAAATATAACCAATGTCATGGAAAAATTTGTATAAAAATTGTTAAATAGGAACCCAATTTGCTATGTAAACTTTTCACCTTAAACACGATAAATTTTTTTTTTTAAAGGAGTTTCTAGGGTGTTTTGCCTCCTCCTACTCCCCCACCCCTGACAATCGTGTGAAGTAAGACTCTCTCCATGTATCTATATCTATACCTGTACCCATACACAGAAGAGCCCTGGTTGCACAGTGGTTAAGCACTCAGCTGCTAACTGAAAGGTCAGCTGTTCAAACCCACTAGCTGCTCCTGGGAGAAAGATGTGGCAGTCGCTTCCGTAAAGATTTACAGCCTTGGAAGCCCTACAGGGCAAGTTCTACTCTGTCCTGTAGGGTTGCTATGAGTTGGAATTGACTCAACAGCAGTGGTTACCCATTTGCATACCCATATCTATATCTATGTGTCTCACTAGTTCTGTTTCTCTAGAGAACCCTAAGACAAGCCTCAGCCCTCTCTTCATCATCTTCTTCGCTCCAAGAAACCCATCTCCTGACTTCTATCACCTTAGGGAGAGAGAAAGAGAAAGATGGCAACAGGTTTGGTTTTGGGGTGTGTATATATATATATATATATGGAATGGTACAGTGTATATTCTTTTTGTATCTGGATTCTTTTGCTCAACGTTATGTTGGAGAGATTCATTACATTTTCATTTTGTAATTCATTCATTCTCATTGTTACATTGTCTTCTAATGTCTGATTATACTACAGTATATCTTTCCATTCTACTGTTGATGGACATTTGAGTTGTTTCCAGTTTTTAGCTATTATAAGTAGTAATGCTGTGAGTAGTTTTGTACTTGTCTTTGATTGGACAAAGTATTTGTTTAGCCAAAAAGTTTTCTAACGTGGTTGTACAAATTTATACTCCTAGCAGCTATGTGTAAAAGCCACAGTTGCTCCAAATCTTCCCCAAAGATTGTTGTCAATCTTTTTCATTTTAGGAATTCTAATAGGAGTATTGCGCTATCTCTTGGTGGTTTTAATTGACATTTTCCTGATAAATTTGATCACATTTTCATATTTTTTGTCCATTTGAATATTCTTTTTTGTGAACTAAGTATTTTGTCCATTTTTATAATGGATTATCTGTCTTTTCATTATCAATTTATACTTCTTTAAGCACTCTAAGACAAGTCATCTGTTGATATATAGCAAAAATTTTCTGTCTGTAGCTTGCCTTTTCACTTTCCTATTAGTCGCTATTATATAACAGAAGTTCTTAATTTTGATGAGTCCATGTTTTCTTTTGTGGTTAGTTTTTTGTGTCTTAAAAAAAAACCTTGAGGGAGTTCCGGCAAAATGGTGCTCTAGGCAGAAGCACCACGCTGTCCTTCCACAGCAAAGATCCAAAAAACTAAGCTGAACAGAGAATACAACAATCCTGAAAACCCTAAAACATCAAATGAAGAGATAAAGAACTCAGCCAAGCACCAAATGGAGTGAGAAAACTGACAGAGAACGGAGAGCGAGGAGAGATTCATGCAGAGGTACCCTACCAGCTAACGGAGAGCGGATCTGCCATCTTGTACTCCTATCGGAGACCAGCAAACAGGGGGTACGAGAAAGCAGCCTCACGGAGCGTCCAGCGGGAGACAAAACAACCGGTAATTTGCGATATATGCTTTCCCATCCCCCACCCTTCTTCACCCCGACTGGGCCTCCTCTGCTTCCCG